TTACTATTATAATATATTTATCTCAAGTAAGGAACTACATTTTGTATCATTTTGTATTTTGTATATAATGTGTCCTATTTAAATTGATCCAGTTGAATACCTCGAGGCTATTGATGACACTAAAAATTGTTTTAAACAAAAGATAGATAATTTTAGAGGATATGTAATTTTATGCGAGCAATTTTTTCTTGGTAAACGCGTAGAGATTGTATGAAAATCAACTTCATGTAACATCATTGCCCTTTTGTTTAAAATATTTTTTAATATTATCAACAGTTATGAAGATATTCGACTGACAAGTCGATCGAAATGGGACACTCCGTATGTAATTATGTTTCTATCTCAATAAAAATCAACATGAGATTTGCTAAAAGTAGTTGCATATTTTCAATAAATTTAAAAAAGTAAATGTATATGAAACGAGTTATTTTAACTGATTTAGTAATTCTAACGTCTATCAAGATTTTATAAAATAGCAAATTTTATATATTACAGTATTTTTCCATTTTCTTACACCCCTATTAAAGACAAAGATAGTTAGATTACACAGAAGTAAGTTTTATATTTATTATAAAGTAATATAATTTTACTGAGATCAATTTTGTATTACCATTAATAAATAGCATAAGTTAAGAAGATTTTGCGGTTATGGTGTCAATTCTAAGGTGATTTAGTATTCAATGATTTAAAAATTATTTAATGATTTAGAGGTCAATTGTTTGAAAGAATATACAGTTACAAATATCGCACACTATGATATAATAGTAGCCGAAAAGTATTTTTCGATAACCAATGGTAAAACAGTAGTACGTGCGCGCAAAAATTCAAATAGAAACGGGTAACTGTAAATAAATAACTCATACCAGAATTCAAAGAATTTTATTTGTAGCGATGTAACATTATCATAACTCTGTAATTAATTTTCTACCACACATTTACTAAAGATTATAATGTAAGAAATAAAATTTTTTTATTTAAGTAAGATAAATATTCAAATTTGTTTTCAATTTTAATCAAATATCACTAATTTTAAATATTATTTTGAATCAGCATTGCGTGATTTGTTAATCGCTACGAGTAATAAATACCTTCTTTCAATCACTTCAATTTGGCCATTTTTAAATAAAAATTAACTTCTTTCTTCAAATTTGTTAATTTCTCTCACTTCACATGTTCGACTATCTCATTTTGATACTTATTGTATAATAATGAAGCTTCCAACTCAACTATTCAACGCAATAGTATTTTTTCACATTTTCATAGTCTTAAATGCCGTTTGAAAATTATAAATACTAAAATAACCTAACATGGCACCTAGTGTTTACAGTTTACAATTTCTGGTAACGCAAACTAAACTTTGGAGGTTTTAGATCCTTTTTCGTCGTAAACTGTGTTACCAACGTAAAATAATAGAAATACACATCATATGTACAATAGGTAAAACTTGTTACCAACGTATACATATGAAAATTCCATTACAATTTGTGTAATTTCATTGAATTTTACATTAGTAACTACGTACAGAGAGAAAAGAAATTCCAATAATAGATCTCATTTACGAACAATAATAATTTCGCTTGCATGGCATCTACATACCAGTGTCGTTACAAAAACAACTTCAAAGAAACGTATTATTTTACAGATCGCAGGTTACGTCTGTACAAATTAGGTAATGACAGGTCATACGGTGTTGACGCAAATCCTACGTACTTGTTATTTTTCTGATGATGGAAACCACCAGTTTGTGGGTCTGTTTTGTAATAAATTACTCTTCGAATACCAAATGGATCAACATAGCCAAAGGAACCGACGTTTGCACCATTTGGTTCTTGTTCCTCTTCATGATACTGCCTTTTCAGGTAATATTGAAATCCATTAGCAACATTATATGTTCCATCATATTCAGGAAATGTTGAACTCTTTCGTGATGTAGCCGTTGATAACTGAATATTTGGTTTCAATCGTTCATTACGTGCTACAGGTACTTCGTTCGATCGGTAAAGAAGATTTTGGTAAGCATTTTGAGGTTTAGAATAATTATTTGAATTACGAGACCCAGGGGAAAATCTTGCTCGATTCGGATCGTAATAATAGTCGGTGTTTGAACTAGATGCAGGAGATGAATGATCCTGAGGTTTGTCAGTGGTGCTAACATAATAATTGGAATTAATATCGTTGCCAACTAACGGAACATTTGCTTCTGGTTGCCTGCAAAAAGAATTATTAATATTTCTGCTTAAACTCGTTAATATTAGTTTCTTAATTATAAATTTTTATAATCCAAACAATAATAATTTGCTAGTTCAAAAAGTAAATAAGAGAAAGATCATTATGTGTATAAAATTATCAGCGTGTGGTAACCCTAATTTTGCTAAATTATTGAATGTTACATAAATTGTGTTACGATATAAATTCTAAAGACTATCAAGCTATTTTCTGGATTAATTATAAATATAATTATAAGCCTGAAGATGAAATTAAAAATATATAATGAATTTATTATATAAATTTAAATGACGAACTTTGTTACACAAATTTAAATATGTAATTGAATTTTAATGTTTTATAATTTTCATTGATTCGTTCGAAATATTTAAAATTAATGATATATTTTAGAAGACTCTATCCTTCTCTACATTTTTCTCTTTTGTATTGTTGATGCACTTTCCTTGTAGAAATATGTAGTAATATAGTTATTTCAGTCTTCAGAAATGCAATTAGGATTACGATGAAATTTATGAAGGCTTATTTTTCGAGACAAACCAAGTTCTTACGAAATGTTAATTGATACTTTGAAAAGTCGTATAGACTCATGCCTCGACCGGTATATACTCATATGACGAAACCTAACCTCATTTCAACCTCTTAGCGCCAACGAGAGCGTTCATGTCTTATCTTCCTATAGTGAAATTTCTATCGTTTTAACAATAATCGTAGATTGTTGAAGCAATTCTCTTTATTCCATATATAGAAATTTAGATGTAAGAATTATGATGAATATGGTTTGAACGTTTTTGTAGTTTCCTTAATTATATCTATATGAATTGATAATAATACCTGAAAGGATTTGGTGGGCGTGTTGGTTTTACAAGAATTCCAGTTTGAGGTGGCGTTCTTTTCGCATCCACTACAGCATTGTAAATAGGTCTGTCTTTACCTACATACAACATTTTCGACCTAATAAAAACATAAAACATTTAATGTAGTTAACTATATATATTATTAAACTTACAATTGCAATGTTAATATAGATTATAATAATTCTTAGATAAGTTATATATTCAGTTTAATGATAAAAATGTTATATTTCATATTTCTCAGGTTCTTCTTGTTAAAGCAAATATATTTTCATATTATTAAATATATAAATAAATATTTAATCTAATCAACATATTCAATATTTTACATTCAGTATATTTAATACAAATGATAAATTTCAATCTGATATAATTTTATATTATTAATCAAATTTTTTAAAAAGTATGTTAAGGAGATATAAAATATGGTATCATAAAATTACACATGTATATGTATATCTACAAGAAATCGTCTTAAAAGTAGAATAAATGGCATATTAATTTAATTTAATTCTTGCAAAATGCTAATAATTAATCAAATTTAAAATTTTTAATGTCAGCTATAATCTTATTTTAACAATTTTTTCAAAACAAATTTTTTAGGATTTCTCATTAAAATATTATTTTATAAATTTGACTCTAGCAATTGGATCATTGTTTTGCAAACATATTTACTAAATTTATAGATCCAAATGTTGAACTATACACAATATACCTCCGACAAATCGTAAATGTTTTATTCTAATGTTACAGTTACACTTCAGGCTGTTACATGTTTATTATTGCGTTTAATAATGTAAATTAAATTTCAGTCCATCTCTTGGACCATTTTTTACCAAATTTTTGGTTTATTATTACAAGTCAATAAAAATTTCTATTTTTAACTCCTTAACGGAGGTGTTCATATTAACGCGTTTACAATTTTATGTAAAATTTGAGTTATCTCATGTTAATACTGTTCTACTTTATCTGCTGAGTTTATATATAGCAGTGTATATTCGTATTTCCTAAACTACCGACTTGTTTGTAATTTTGATTACGATATGATACTAAATTGGTAATAAAAATACTCGGGAAGTTTTGTCCGATTTTTATAAAATAATTTTACTTTTAAGTTGTTGAAAATATTAATCCTACGGAATTCTATAGTTTTGTTAATATATCTTTTGACAAATTAATGTCGTTTCTTCCTGTTTTCTTCTAGTGTAAACTGTCCTCTTGCAGCTACTCTTCCGTGAAAACCAACTTCTCTTGCAATACTTTTTGCTATTTCCGGATGATAGATCTTACCCATTGTTTATGTAATTTCTTCTATTGATTTTGGTTCACTTATTCGGCAATCCTCTTACATTTTTCTAATTACAGCAGGAGCAAATCTCTAACATTTTTAAACTATTAAAGTTTGGAAGTATTTAATGACTCTGCTAATTATGATACATTGAGATTTGTCACTGATCAAAACTTTTATCAGAAGAAATCATTACGTGTTTCTTGAAATTCCGAAATTTTTAGAAAAAGTCAGCTAAGAATTTTGTTATCTCTAAAAATTCTTTAGTCAAAATATTGTCAAGGTGGGGGAAATTATTATTGGCATGTGCAGACCTAATTTTAAATTAATGTTAGAATTAGCAAGAGCTGATCATGTTTTATACTTTACTTTGACTTTTCTATATATCTCGGTATGCTAGATCATTTATTTAATCTACGTTTTCGTAGAAGTGATGTTTCTCCATTGGTATGTGTAGTGTGGGTGTGTCTTTGGGAATTTGGTGAAAGGGGAAAAAGTGTACCGTTCTTCCCTTCTAACTCATTGGGTTTTTGCAGGTGAACAATAAATACAATGTGGTATGAAGAATAATTGCCAGTTACGCGCAGGTCAGTTACCCACAAAACCTGGTAGGTCCCGACTGATTGTTGCTGAAACTACTCCCGTAGTGATGGGTATAAACTGTTGATAAATATATAAGATTACTCTTTCCTTGAGTAACTAACACGTGTAATGATCATTGATTGCATGATTTTCTGTTTTAGTAATCTTAATAATTTTTCAATACCATTTTCTTTTACGTAATTTCGCAATTAATTTTCGGGTGTTTAAAATTGTATAAATATTTAAAAAATGAACGATGATCTTGTAATTTCTTTTAGTTAATGTTTCTAGTTAGATGATTCGATTTATGTTGTTCACCTTGTACATTATATACGCATGGATTGTAAGAGGAAAAACAGGAAATATCTATTTTAGCACTAGAAAACTACTCGAGCTTTCTTATTGTAATATATATTGTAAATTCATTGTAAATTATTAATTAATTCATAAATTCATATCTTTTTTCTAATGCCAGATTAAAGTATTAAAAATTAATTTTCTCAATATTATTTTGTGATATTACTTGTTTTCTTCTTTGCCTTTTATGTATGTATATATTAATACATACATTCTTACATTAATTATGTTACAGATTAAGTCCTGTAGTAGCCCAAAAACTGGACTTCGTTTTTAAATTCGTTTTATTAACTGTATCGTTATATTATATTATTTTCAATTCTTTTTTTGATTGTGGTACATGATAAATTAGTTAACAATAAAAAATAAATTAAATAGTTACTAAGATAAAGAAGAGTAATGAGAAATAAAGATATTTATATTGTCTAAATATTATCTAACTATTGTTTAACCTATTTCGGATATTAATATTTTCTTAATATTTTTATGAAATACGTTTGAATTATTTGCTAGGAAAATTATTTATTAGTAAAAAAGTTCGAAAATAGAAATTTAATTTTTATAATTATTTTAGTTACCTCAGAATTCGAAATCCGTTACTGTCTGCTATGTAGTCTTTTAATCGTAAATATCCAAGAGGGTCTAACCAACCCTCTGTACCAATCACTGTACCATCGACTAATCTCTTTTCCTTCCTGTATTGCCCATTTAATGTTTGAAAACGAAAGTACCTTTCAGGCCCTTCATCCGTTTGAATATGATATTGTGTATTTGGATCAAAATTCCAACCACTCTTCTCTGCTTCTATTTCACTCGTAGATAAACACAAGACAGAAGCCTAGAACGATAAAATAGTGACAGTTACTTTTCCATAAATAGTAAATATCATTCTGCCTAAGTATAACAATTAAATAACTTGGAAATATCACGTTAAATTTACACACTGAAAGAACAGAAGAAAAAGGTATTTACTGTAGAAAAAATGTATAAAAGATATGTTTAAAGAAATAATTTTAACGTATAGTCGCTCTCAACGGTATTCAAACAATTTAAGTTGTAAATTTTTAATAAATGCAATAGACACGTTGAACTCAGTAATTGAAAATAACACTGAGCTCGAAGTAAGTAAGGCATAAGCGTTGAGAATATGTCGGTAAAATTAAAAAAAGAAATTTAATATTGGGGACTTGAACATAGAAAAAATATTTAAGAATTAGTGAAACATTAAATGTGAACATACGTGTATTTTTCACGAAAGTGACATTATTTTTATAACTATTTCTGAACTAATTTGTGTTATATATACTTAAGTAAGGTACATTTGACATTAATTTAAATAATTATATCGTCAATTTCTAAGTGTTTGAATACTTTTGTCCATAAAAGGTACGTTTGCATTCAGTATCCTTTGTATCCTACATTTATAGTCGAATTTTTGTTTATAACTGTACCCACATGTTTCCAAAACTTGTATGTCAGTGTACCTGCAATATTGTTTAAAAAGTTCAAGTCAAATTTGCATGTTTTTCTCAGAAAATGAACAAATAAAAAATTTTATTTCCTATCGAGATCATCAAGTTATAAGATTATAACGACTGTAAGGAATCATTCAAAATCTAGGTAGACTTAATTAGCAATACAACAATACGTTGTTGAAAGAAAATATATAAGAGTACATAAGTCTTTTAGCAGAGACTGTCCCTTGGCCTAATTGTAAAATACAAAGTCCTCAAAACGACTTAAGTTTATGGTGGCCATCCAGTGGTCGAAACTTGAAAGTCCAGGATGATCTTCCACGAATGCATAGACCACCCACGCTACTATTAAGGGCAAGGTTGCCATCAACCTAAACTCATCCCCTTAATTTTGGTAGGAGTGACGTCAATATGGTCTGAGCGACGAAGTCTGTCATAAGTAAGTAGTTAGTACTGTACGTGCCTCGCAAGAAGTTCCAGGGATCTATTGTACTAATACAGGTCACGTTGTTCAGCTATTCGTAACTTGAAAACCAAGAAATATGAGATCTAAGTTTACCCGATATTTTTCACTTATTTTAGTCTGTGATTCACCGAGGTCTGGGCATATGTTTATGAATGATTTAATACAGGTACTAAATAATTCAAAGTGTTTTGAATCCCATTCCTATCTAGTAATGGGATACATCTAGTAACTCATGGATATACACGTACAATTGATGTGGTAATATCAACAAATTTTTATCAATATTTTGAAAATTAAGGCAGATCGTTCAACGGTTTACAAGTTAGAATATTGCTCTTTATAACTCATTTCAAATATGCTACTCTAATAATATGATCGATATAATAGTATAAAATTAATGAAAATTGGTAAGGACAAACGACAAATAGACCAGATCAGTATTCCTGACTAAGTGGTCAGGTATTGCATATTTTATAAATTTTCATGGCATAATTCTTATGATACATTGATCGTAGACATTGTACGGGCTTCACAAGAAGTTCCGCGAATAGAATGCAGATCTAATTGGTTAGAGTGGTAAAAGGATGCTTCATTTAACACATTTCTGGTTCTAATCGAACTATTACCAGCTGAGTAGCAACGAAGACTTTCTTCTCTTACATCTGTATTATCTCGAAGACTTCTTGCGAGACACGCGCAGTAGTTATCACTGACAAAAGTTGGCGAATAGTGTTTAAACATAGTTCAAGACCTCGAAAAGGAATTTATTGAAGTTTGAAGCATAATAAAATTCACGCAAGGTTTGAATTTTGCGCCATTTACACAGTAAAGTGTTGCTAACAAGAAAAGACAACGTGACAGCTAACATTCAGGGTTATTAAAAATGGAGCGCTATACGAAAGAACAACGCGTCTTCATTGTCAAATAATATTTACAATTTTTAGTTGAAAGCCTGGGTTTTCTGTCTAAATTACTTCTTGGATGAATTTTGTGGCACTCATTAAATAAATTAAAGATATATTTTCTAAATTAAGACCGAATGTAATACATGCATATGTATTCCAACGCGTAGAAATAGCGCGAGCGAGAAATTTACGAACGCATGAAGCCGAAAATGAAGGGTAATTTGTGAATGGCTACCATACCAAAGGTCTAAATTTTGTTAAATAATTTCTATATGTTAGAGTTTCTATGTGATAGAAAAGGATAACCACAGACACCAACGATCGGCCTGATAAATCAAACTATATCTACCTATAGATATAGTTATATCTACTATATAAAGGTTATAGATGTCACTCATTGTTTACAGAAATCACCATTCAATCAAAAGGCCTCAGTCTTTATTCAGTTAATGTACAATTACATATATACATTATTTAGCCAATATTCGGTCACAAGTAGGGTACTCTAATTGCGTCGTCCAATTTCATTTTTTCTGCTCTGAAAATCTACAAGGTATTTGACATAACTGGATTTAACTGTGATTCTAAAATGTTAGGTGTTAGAAAAGAACTTTATTAGGCAAAATTATATGGCGTTGAATGGTACATGACCTAGAATACATGACTACTCCAAAAGTGAAGACGTTTTGAAGATTTCAAGGTCACCTTTAGTTTACATTTTTAACAGGATGTAATTTAAAAATTGCACTAAATTACTTAAGTAATTAATTGTTTCGTGTAACATTATGACGATATGACATTATAACGATGTAACATTCATATTATATTATATTATATTTATAGTTCATTTATATTGCATTTATATTATTTATATTTTCATATAATTACATTCATGTTAGACTCATGTTATATTAACCCTCGAATAACCAACCGTAGATGAATGACGTGGCGAGTCAAAACACCGGGTCATTTTTGACCAATATCTAAACTTTTACTATGCCTGCTTTGCACCAAACTGTTTGGTGCAAGACACTATCTACCTAGTAATATTTGTAATATGGGAAGGAGAGTAGTCTTTTTAAAAAAATGTAAAATTTTATAAATATATTTTTTATTTATGTGTATTGGGTAGATATAACGTTATCATGTTCTATTGCGTGTTTTTCTACATATAAATCGTGAACATTTGGTTCATTTCATACTATTGTAGATTTGTGAAAAATGTTATGTTCAAATTTCGGAGTTAAATAATTAGCACTGATTCCATGTCTAGGTGCTTTATCACTATATCCTATTTGGTCTCGATCTGTACTGTTCATTTTCTTTGTTACACGATACGATATAAATTTATTTACAAATGTGACACTTCCAACGAATAATAAAAATCGTGTAACCTATTTTTGCGATTGTGTTAGAGAAAGTGGATCTATTACACTATGGCCAATGAGACCCGCATTCCTCCTGTTTGCAAACTCCTGTACTCTGCAATATATTTGACATCAGAACATTTATCTGAAAGGTATATAAAAGCATAGTCATAAGATAACGAAAACTAACGATGAGAATTAGATGTTATTTATTCGTCGAATGTAGGTATAGTTGGAACGAAATAATAAAGAACCGTAACAATGGGGTATAACATCTGATGAAAATTTCAAACATATTTCTTAATATTGTATAATTTATAAACTATTGTATTATTTTTTAACCCTTTGCGCTATAATTATTTTCCTAGTTTGTTCTCGGCCAACTCTGATTTACTTTTTCTGGTTTTGATACTTCGTGTTAGGTATGAAGTAATTCCTTGCAATTATTTAAAGTTTAATGTTTTATTAACATAACTATTGTTCATAAAGAATGTATAATATCAAAAACGAATATTTAGTTCATTGTTATTTATATCTTTTTAAAGTATGGTACTTTTAAAGACAATCTCCTACATATAAAAATGGTTTCCTGCTGCAAGTTTCACAAAAGTAGACTATTGTTCGCCTTCCACCTTTTATTTTTCGATTTGAACATACTAGGCAGTCATTATGATTGCCTTGAGAATCTGCCATTAGTATATGTAATTTACCATCTAATCAATTTTCGTGATCTGATGTTGAGGGTCTTCTCCGACGTTTCGCGCTTTGTCAAAAATTTTCCACAGGTGACTTCAAGGCAATTCAATGCGATTGCATTTGAACATTGGATAAGGAACACTAATAGTATTATGCTAAGAAGTGTATAATGCAAGACTTTTATGTACATACACATAATTTCAAGGCATTTTTTAAATAAAACTGCTTCCCATTAATTTGTTTTATTAACTGTATGAAGTGACTTAAGAGTTTTAGGAAAAAATAGTTTTGTCACGTCAGAGGTGACCTCACAGTATAAAGGGTTAAATTTGATACTGTCGGTTCTAAGGAATCGATATATCGTTAAACATGATTACAATCTTGTTCGTAAGAACTTACATTGAACCTACATGTCCAAATTCAATTGATTCAATTTCAAAATGAAATTTAAAAGATATATTACTTAGGAATAATGTAGTTCCAACAGTATGTAAAAAAATTAGGTGTTTTAGCTATTATAATTGAATTTGTTTAATTTCTACGAAATACAGAAGAGAGTCATAATAAACTGTACTCAGCGCTCGGAGTAAGTACTCTGTTAGGCTTGTATTAAGGGCGGTTCTCATGTCAATCTCCAGGTGTATTCTTAAATTCACACCTTACTCGTAACCGATAATCCAAGATAAACATCCGATCTCTCTCGCTCGGTTCACAATCACTCATCATCCACGTCACATCTGCAAGTCATTCACCTCACTATACAGTGCACTATATAATTCCATCCACACTTAACTCATACCACGGATTGTAGAATAAATTCAACTATAAATAAGTCCTTTAGTATTCCTTTTTTCGATCAAATGGCTAATAATTTATAAAATATTCTAATTCTCTATATAGAATATATGTATAGAATATATGGTTTATGA